TTATTTTTAGAGGATCAGAATATTTGACAGCTACATTTCAGATATTATGTTAATTTTTTATTAATAAAATTGGAAATAAAAAATTGAGTTGGATTATAGAATTAATATTACTACGACACAAGAAGTGCATGCTTTCTATTAACTCAAATAATATTAAATTTAGTACATTTGATTCGTGAAAATGATTGAATTATCTGTACAAATAGATGAAATATGTCCAGGGTCCAGTCCTACGTGCAAGCAACAGCTAGATTTATAATGTTAATTTATATTAGTATTATTCATATATCTCTTTATTATAATATTCTTATATTAGTTAGGGAAGAAAAGGGTAAGAAAATCATTTAAGTAACACAAAATCAAGAAATGAAAGAGCAAGATTTCTTTAATTAATTCTATAGTATTTTTATTAAAAATGTCATTTAATACTTACGTAAAAACTATCTATATATTTTTCTTATAGCTTGTTTGGCACTGCTATCGGGAGGCCAAAGCCATTTATTTTTAGAAAAAGTAAATGTTTGGCAAATCAGTAAATGAAGTAGAAGCAAATAATTAACTTTTTCCAAGACTAAATTATTCTATATATATATATATATATACTGATCAATATTATTTTTTTAATTAATTGATATATCTCATAAGTTTAGTTAAGTTTCATTTAAAAATTTTATTTTATATATTTTTTTTATGTTTATATGTTATTATTTTATATTTTAAATATTACTTTATGTATTATTTGACAAAATTAGAAAGAAAAAAATAACAGCAATATTTTTGCAAGACTAGAAAAAAGAAAAGAAAGTAACAATTAAAGATTTTTGAACTCCCAAAAAAGGAATAATATTGATCGAAAATTTAAATATGTATAATTTACTAAAAATAAAATTTAATTATTTTTTTATAATAAATGTTTAAGATAGTCTGTTTTAGTAAAATAATTTTAATATTAAAATTACATTGATACTTGTTCTTTTTCATAATTTTACTCTCAGATAAAAAGAATTAGTCAAATAGAAAATTTGTTTGTCAAACGTACTTTTCGAATGAATTCACCAACACATAAATAATTCTTTTTTTTAAAAAAAAAGCACTTTTCCAAAATACTATTATAGAAAAAAATACTTTTAAGAATAAGTAATTTTAATTAGCAATACTTAATCCTGTTCTTCAGTATATATTTTGCAGCATCTCAAATATGGATGATATAAAAAAGGAAAATCTGAAGAAAAAAATATTAGCCATTTTCTTCGTTTCTCTTTTAATATTTCATATATACATGCATACCACGTTTCTTAAAAATACCATTCACACTGGACACCTACAACAGCCATGGAAATTTATTTTCTTAAAAAGATTTTGTTGATCACTAATTTCATATTTTATTAAATTTGATCTGAAGGGCTAACACTTCAGATTTTATGCTAATTTTTTATTAGTACTGGAAATGAAAAATCGAGTTGGATTATAGAATTAAAAAATATTAATTCGACACAAGGAGTGCATGTTTTAAAAATGTTGAGTACATTTGATATGTGAAAACGATTGATGAGATATGCTTAAGGAGTCCAAGTCGTACGTGCAAGCAACAAGCTATATTTATAATGTTATTTTAATTTTTATATTGGTATTATATATATCCTTTTACTTGGATCTTGATTTCTTCCTTATAAATAATTAACATAACGTCTCTTAATTAAATTTTTTATTTATTTGCGGAAGAAAATGGCAAATATTAATTTGCCTATACGCGTGATATTTTTAGACAAAACCAAGAAATGAAAGAGCAACATATTTTGTACATATTATACGCAAAGTGATGTTACTCCCTTTATAATTAAATTAAACATCACTTTATGTATTTGCCTTTATAATTATTGTTAAACTATTCTTGAAAATATAAATAATTTAAAGTAAAATTATAAATACAAATAATTAACTATTTTGAACTTATCACCTAAATTATGTAAGTGAAGGGGGAGAAAAAATTCAAACATTCATTTTAAACTTCGAACAATTCATTTATTTTATTTTTTTATTTATTTATAAAATAGCTTTTCTACAAAAATAGAGAGGAGTAGTTTTTATTTGGCGAATTCAGTTGAGAAAAAAAATGATATTAACCGGCAAATTGATAAGGGCATTTACATAGTTAATTTTCTAGAAATATTGTCTCAAAAGAAATAATAATATTAATATCTTTATAATTAAAATTTAAATTAATTTTCTAATATATATTTACCACGCTAGGAGGAGCTAAGCCGCATACCACGGTGGGAAGTGGGAACATGGCATTTTGACACGTTCCTCATGAGTTTGGTTTGCTTAATTATTTAGTTTAGGTATGAGAATAATACACTTAATTAAATCATTTTTATATTAGATTATGTAACAACTCACATAATTACAAAAGAAGGGTTAGCATGTGAAGGTTGTGTGCATTGGTCGATTTGATTTGATTTTATGTATTATTGATAATTATTAAAAATATGCTATTTAATAATTAAATTAATGGAACATTTTTCTTATCAATTTTTTTTGACGATTTAATTTTTGATTTAATCAATAAAAAAATACTCATTAATTCATATATGATTTCTCCAACAACTTTATACAACAAGACATTAATATAACTTTACACGATACTCATAAAATAAAAACATTAATATCATAAAAAAAATAATTATACAAATAAAAAAAACTAGCACAAAAATGTGAATTGGCCAAACGGAAAAGGTAGTACAATAGTCGGTTATGGTATTAATATTTATTATTTACATAGGGGTGAAGGAATAAATCATTCCGTCTTAATGAGTTACAGACTTATGCAATAATCCACGTGATGATATTAATACTATCAAATGTTAAGTTTTGATAAAATTCTTTAATAACAATTCTTCAAATTTTTCATATGGGGTATTAATTTGGTGGAACTTAGATCTAAAAGGATGTTAAGTTTTGATAAAATTCTTTAATAACAATTCTTCATAATTTTTCATATGGAGTATTAATTTGGTGGAACTTAGATCTAAAAAAGGAGTCTATTTCATTTAATATTGTTTTCACTTTTTTATGACTATTTAATTTGTTTGCTACGAAAGAATTAATTGGCTATGACTTCTTTGTTTTACAAAATATGATGATTATGTCGAGCTAAACATAATCATTTCAAAAAAACAATTGTGTGCTTAAAAAAAATAAATAAGAAGCTCTATAATAGACTAATTTTGTTTTAAGGAAAATAGATTTATTAAAGGGGCAAATTACCTTCATACCAAAGAGTTACTTACATTATTCAATGTTTATATATGATATGATCTCAATGATTTTCTCATCTACTTTGAATCTTTGATGATTTCACAAAATAGCAAAACATGAATAAGCAACATATACAAAATACAAATAGTTTTCTATTATTCTTTCATAAATTCACATAATAAAAGAAATTTTATTTTTTGTTGGATGTTGCGAAAGGATATATAATCGAAAAAATCAGTTATAACAAGACACTACTATTCTTTATAACATAATTCAAATTAGACTAGATAGGCTAACTTTTATCTTAAGCTTTAAATAACTCAAACTTTTTTGAAAATTGAAAAAAGTCTAAAAAAAAAGAGTTGATATAAATCGAGAGAGTAATATTTACTATTTTTTATATATAACTTTAATTTCGTCTAATTATGTTTAAATAAGTATATTTTTAATTATAAAAGTGTTGTTATTTTCGGCTGGTATGGAACTTACTTTTCACCAATATATTTTATCTCCTACCAAGTACTAACGCATATACTAATATTTTTATAATCTTAATATATTACTTAATCATAATTTCATGTAAATATAGTTGAACATTTTAATTACAATATTAAACAAAAAAAGATTATTATAAGACAGGTATGATATATTCAACATTTCAACTTGATATTGGGTCAACTTTTAAAGTTCAAAATTAAAAAAATAAAAGAAAAGAATGTAGTCTATAGTGAAATAAGGAGGATTTGGAAGCGTGGTAGGACTGGGGCAGCCAGATTTTTTCTGTCCCCATCTCGATCTCTCTTATATTTCGGCGTATTATTATTTTTTTATCGAGTCGTCTAATTTATATGTTATTGGTACTTTTTTTTATTTATCCGTATTTTTTCAAAAATTACTATATTTACGATGATATATATGTTAACATATTGATCAAAGTTTACATTATTAAATCATTCAATATTATCAAAATTTAAATTTTAAAATTTCAATATTAAAAAATTTATATTTTAAAAAAGGACAACTTTCACATATAACAAATAAAAAATTCATTTGTATGCTATAACAAAGTTTGTATAATTGCACTACATAGCAGACATAGAAACTGTATAATTCGCTATACATATACGGTTGAAGCAAATTGTATAAAACGAAGTGTATAAAACAAGATAGAGAAAGACACTTGGGCAGAGAACCGTATAAAAACATAGTGGATAAAACAAATTGTATTATTATAAATGTATAGAACAATTATATACAATTTGAATTTATATAAAATGAGAAAGATAGAAGACAAAAGAGACTTGACAAGGAATATACAATTAAATCAAATTGTATAAAATGAGAAAGAGAGAAATTAGATACAATTTGAAAATTTTATAAAACCAGAAAGAGAGAAAGACAAAAGAAACTGGGCAGGGGAGTATTTTTATTGTATAATTATAAGTATATAGGACAAAAATATATGTACTTGCACGTGTATATACAATTTTTCTCACGCTTTATACAAACAGAAGCACAATTTATACATTCCGCTTTTATTTGTATATGTGAGAAAGGCGAGGGTGGTGAGTGAGATTTGGGAGAGAGGTGCCTGACAATTTTTTTGCATACGTTTAATATGGAGCATAATTAAATTAAACCTTAGCTACTTCATTTATTTTAGGTTATTAATTGCTATTATATATAATTTTCTATTTAAAATATTAATCAAAGTACAGATAATCTGAATCTCTATGTCGATAAAAATAATATAATAATGCCACGTGTATTATAATAAGCCTTTTGTTCTCTCCAATCCACTATATAAACACACGTTTCTCTTGAATCTAAATCACAACTAACAAACTTCCTCAAAACTTGCTTTGCCTTCCCTTTTAATTTCGCACATTCATTTGTTGTTTCTCTCCAAAGATCTAACACTAAGGTTTAGTTAATTTTTTTCCTGCAAAAATGATTCGAGGAGCCGCATGTTTTCGCAAATTATTTCAATCTTCAGCTGTATCTTCAAAGGTTTGTTTCTCATCTATATATCTCGATGAAAATATTTTATCGATCGAATAAATTGTTACATGTACTCGCTCGGCTCACTATTGAATTTTCCTTTTTAGTGAAAAATAATTTAATTTTTTTTATTGGCATTTGCAGGTTGCAGCAAGGTGTTATACAGCTCAGGCGGCTGTACAGCCTGCTATTTACAGGTAAATTAGAGATGAAATAATTGCGTCAACAACTTGAAAAAAAAATAATTAATTAGTTAATCACTGAACTATTGTTTAATTTGATGATTTCAGTAGCGATGAAGAGTCTGCTGATATCGACTGGGACAATCTTGGATTTCAATTGATTCAAACTGATTATATGTACATGACTAAATGCTCTGATGATGGAATATTTAGAAAAGGACAACTTAATCGTTATGGCAATATCAATTTGAGCCCATCTGCTGGTGTCTTGAACTATGGACAGGTAAAATAAATAAATAAATTATATGGCCAAAATCTAAAGTATAGTAAAAATCATTCGAATAATATTTAACGATTTCTTTTTTTTGTTTGTTTAAACAGGGGTTGTTTGAAGGTACAAAAGCGTATAGAAGAGATGATGGGAGAGTATTTTTATTTCGTCCTGAACAGAACGCAATCAGAATGCAAATTGGTGCGGAGCGAATGTGTATGCCATCTCCTACAACTGATCAATTTGTTGATGCTGTTAAGCAAACCGCTCTTGCTAACAAACGTTGGGTAATTAATTATTTTTAAATTCATCGTCTCGGTCTCAAATAAGTTATATATGATATGATCAATGTTTAATTGGGGGATTGTCACTAAATGTGCAGATTCCTCCTTCTGGAAAAGGGTCACTTTACATTAGGCCTCTTTTAATAGGCACTGGTCCTATTTTGGGTTTGGCTCCAGCACCTGAGTACACTTTCCTTGTCTATGCCTGTCCTGTTGGTAATTATTTCAAGGTTAGTTTCTTATTTAAGTCGCTTAAAAAGATATCTATACATAACTCTCGTATCGATC